GTGTCGGCTATTTTGATTTAATTTAAAATTAATTTCATTTCTTTAAATTATATTTCTTATTAGAGTAATTTTTATAAAATATAAACACTTTTTCGGAAAAAGGCAAACTTTTGATAAAGGGAAAAAAACTCGTAAGTAGCCTACATTTATCTAATTTTACCAACCAATCAGGACATACTTATAAAAATAACAAACGGTCTTTTAAATAGTTAACATTACATTAGAATTGAAATCGGCTTTTCAATTTTTGTAATAACAATTATTCATTATTAGTTTTTATTATAATATAGCATGTTCCCCTTTTTTCTGACAACGAATGTATGATAATATACGTAAATATATATATATATATATATATATATATATATATATATATATATATATATATATATATATATTATAGTTTGGTCTTCATTATCCTACTTTATATTTATATCATGTTAAGGATATTTTTTCTCAACCACTTTAGAATTTTTTTTTTGGTTCATTGCACGGAAAAAAGCGTCTGGAGGGCTATAGTATGTACATGAAATAATATAAAAACACACCTATATAAGAAACATAAATATCTATCCAAATATAATTTAAAATAATGAAACTCTGATTTAGCCTACTGTTTCAAGAGCGTTGCGAATTATCGTGCATTTTACATTTGTTTTAAAGATCCAATACCTAAAAACACAACTTATTTACATTAGTAAAGAATTTGATTTTATAATTTTAAAATTTCTCAATACAGCCGGAAAGTTATGCAATATGCCTCGATAACAGTTTTTCCAATGATATGTTAAATACATTTTGTATTTTATTTAATTTTTTAAATTCAATTTTGATTTTTTTGTTTCATTTCCTCTTTTCAGGTGGTTTGTTTCAACTGGACGCCGGTGATCTACTTTTAGTTTCTATTTCATCTTCTGATGTTATTGAACAAAGACATCAGTCAATTTATTTGGGTTTGATAATGCTGAAAAGTTAAATATATACATTTGCTATGTTTTTTTCAATAGCTTTTTTTCTGAAATTTAGGAAAATGTGCATACAATTTTAATTCATAGTTTATATTAATTTCAAATTTTGTTATTTTAAAAAACATCATTCTTCATAATGAATTTTATTAAACCAATTTTAAAGTCCACAAATGTTTAATTTAAAATTATAGTAATCCATGAATTTTTGGGAGGATATCAGATAAAACTAAATTAACCAAATGTTTAGATGGTAATAAACAGTTTACTGGCAAAATGTGACTTCACCACAGCAAAAACAAAAAACCAAAAATTTAAATTAGTATATCCTTAAATATTTGTTCCACAATTTTTTGAACGTTATAAATAATAATTATTCCTTAACAAAATTATACTCTTTTTTTCTGTCCCTCCTAATTTTCAGTTGTGTTCTTTATTTTTATTTATTTTTTTTTTACAAAGTAGTTAATGTTTACTTAAAAGTATTGATTTTTAAACAAATTCAGATAAACCAAAAGAAATTCGATAAATAATAAATCGAGTTAATCGACCAATGGCTGTAAATAAAGGCACACTAATTCTGTATCAGGCGAAGGCCATGTTTATAAATTAAATTGGTAATTGCGTCCAACCCATTGCTATTGCTTTCTTTTGTCTCTTTAAAATGCAAAGTAGAACTAGATAAGAAGATCGAATTCAGTTGACTTTATCATATTTATATCGCTTTGTTACGTTTCCCATTATCCATATTCCTGCTGCAAGTTTAGTTGGCATACACGTATGATATGTTGATGTTGGACCTAAAAATTTTCATTAAATGATGCTGCAAGTTGGTTTGCCAACAACAACACATTTTAAAACATACGTTTAGAATAATGTAATAGATATGATGCGAATGAAATGTAAAAAAAAAAAGGGAAAATTACTACATGCCGGAAATCCGGATGTTTTATTTACAGCTACAAGTTTGCAATGAAAGCCACTTGAATTTTAGATTATTTTTTCATGATATTTTTTTAAAAATCTAGTTAATAATGTGTTTTATTTTTTTTATTTTCTTAATAATAAGAAACATTTAATTTTATTTCTTTTGTTATCTAGCACACAATCCCCGAGCGTGAACTTTGCTTTAACCTAAATTAAGTTTGACCTTCAGTAACGCTCGTTTATTGCAATGATATGTCCTCAAATTGTTCCTCGAAATCAATTAAGTACGGCTCCCTCTGCCAAATCTAAATGAACCACTTTTATGGCATAACCAAAAACAAACTCTTATTTGTTTAGAGTGGAGAACATGCTAAACGGTTTGGCACGTTTTAAGATGTCTGTGTTAGGCGATTTTTCTGCCCCTGAATTTGTAAAACAATATAGTTGATGATTGATTAAATACGTTATAGCGCGTGTATCCATGCTGTTTTATCTTGCTCACAGTGCTCTAATGCCCTAAATCATTTTAAAGAGAAACATGCTTAAATGTTTCCTAAATGATTCGTTATCCTTAATGTTCAATCTTCTTAAAAAAATTGAGGCAAACTCTTTCGTAATTTAGGCAAAATAGCTTCAAAGGAGCACACACCGAATGAGTTCTTTCTGTGTCCATCGACACTGAAAACACTCAGTAAAGACTAAGTTAAAGAGCGCAATGTCACTGAGGATACATGTTTAGAAATCAGTTTTTGCAAATGTTCAGGTGCAGAGTCTTCTATACAGCTATACGCCAGAGAAAGATATTTACGAACTTGGATGATGTGGTCAGATTTATTTTTAAGCATTTGCAGTATTTTGTACTGGAGTCCCTCAATTGTTTTTTTTAAATAAATCCAATAAACTACTATTGAAATATTCTAATATTGATTGGAATAGAGTGAATGCTACGTCATTGGCAGTTCTCTTATTAGGTTGAGGAAGCAGCTGACACAGAGTTCGAAGATGTGCTTTGTTTAAAAGAAAATAAATATTTTAAAGTTACCATCTTTATTAAGTTTTGGGGTATGTTTTCACTTATAAAATGTGCCCACTGTGTTTCAATACCGTTGAACTATATTTATGACATTGGTAAAATATATAATGTATTTATTGTAAAATTAATTACAAGATACAGTCATCCATATACAAAGTTGCTTTTTGAAGAAGGCTTAGTAAAAATTTAATTGCAATACTTTTAAGATCATATATATACCATTTGTAACAAAATTGTTCTTTGAAAAGCTAAATTTCACATAAAATGTGCCAGTTTACTTTTGCTTATCTTGTGCTCCCCCTAAGAAAAAGTGCAGGCACCACACACAAGTATTTTAAAGTTTAATTAAAACTAACCCTCCCCCACAACCGGTTATGCCACGCACGTCGCTAAATTATTTTAATAGTCTAATGTCAAAACCATTTTAATCATGCAATGTACTACATGTTGTGTACGAATTTATGACAATGATATTTGTTAATTTTGCAATCGTACATTGAGGACTCTAACCACATAAACAAATCTCTCGAGTCGTTGGTTTTACCTATCGAAACCCATTCACTTTTTACAATGGACGTTTCTTCACCATTGCACGTCGATGTATCATACTAATGGACTAACTGCTATTTCATCTTTTTCTCAATAAGATTCCTAACCCTAAGTTTCCAACAAATGCCCTTTTACGTTTGGCAATTAACACGTTTAATTTTAGTGTCGAATATTTTTTTATCATAATAGGTGTGTTGCAATGGGAACGAAATGGGACCAAGTTATGCATGTTTGTTTATGGGCTATTTGGAACATATGTGGAGAGAAAACTAAAAACAATAAGGAATTAAAACATTAAATATATATATATATAATTCAGAAAGACATAGGGCGCAAAAAATACTTTTTACTGATCAGCCCGGTGTTATAGAGAGCTTGTTTTTCTCGTGCGTGCCCTCTGATTGACCCCGCATGAGATGCTGTGTTCACAAAGGGGTGTGGCTTAGGTCTTTGAAGTGGCTTGTTTACAGTCGGCTTCCAATTACGCATTGGGTAGATTGTTTTCGGGTAATTTCTGGAATATACTCCTTAACCCGAGATATGTAAACAACACGTCATAAGCCCTTCTCGAAGCATCTTACTCTACATATATATAAGAGATTGACAGGCACGAGGAGACGGAGATTTTTCACATAGATTTTCTTAACATTACGAGGCGTGTTTTATTCTTTGTGTATTTGTGTGCTCCTACTTATATGTGTTTATTTCGCATTATTTATTGGCATCATTATTTCTAATTGTATTATTTGTGTACCGGTACGACATCTGCCATACTGTAAGTTGAAGATTGTAATTTTATTTTATTTTATTTTGTAATTATCTTTAGACATAATAAAACTTAATTAATTGTAACTAGAAACTGTTTTGGGTCGTATCTTTAATAATTGTTGATTCTATGGTATCGTCCTTTGTTAGGCACTGTTTACATCGAGCCAAATTAAAATTAAAATAGGAGATTAATTTCTCCCAATACAAGTCAGTGCGTAACACCGGGGAACAATTTTTCTATAAATTATGTTGCGCCATTTCCGGAATACGGTTGACGCGTACGGTTGTGTAATGATTCCAAAGTTCTTTTGTCCTAAAAGCATAATATATTATATATAAGGAAATGGAATCAACTTTGGTGCGCCACTTTACGTATTTCCCATAGATAATTTTAGTTGACAAGTCACCTTCAATCACACTTTTAAAAATAAAATAAAACCCAGGTAAATAGGGAATTTCCAATTGTTTAGAGCTGTTTCAGTCAGGCTTTGAAAAGATGGATCATTGAATAACGTGTTAAAAGTCACATAATTCCCAATCAAATTGTGTGATTTAGACAAAATATATGTAGCACTATACATTTGTTATTACTTGTCTGTGAATTTTCTTATTTATTGTTTGATGTCCATAATGTTACAAACTTAATGTTTGAGAACCACTGGTGTATTAAAATATATTCTTTGGCGCCTTTCTGACAAATAAAAGCAAAAGGATAATCGGGGTTTCCTCAAATGACATACTTCATACTTCCTGACCCAAGGAGTTCGACTGATAGGTGTAATGCTATTTTACTGAATACATAACTAAGTTTGAAGGGATTGGTGAGTATTGTCATTCCATATGATATTTTATGCAAATATAATGCTAAATTTACGCTTAAGTTGTTATTCTTCACACATATAAAAACGAAGCTGACAAAATTTTAAATTTTTATCACTCATTTAAATAAGTATTAGATTTACACGTAAATTAAATATCTACATATCTACCCTGTAACTTCTTTAAAATCGTATTTAGGCAAGAGAGATTACATCTTTTTAAAGGTGCATGCTGCACTTATAAAACTAGTGGTATGTTTAACATTAGATGGAACTACAATCGTGTCATTAACACCCCAAACTTTCGTGTTATTTTCACCATTTAATGAAGAGCTAAGAATCGCAAGCCAATATCTAAAGTCATTTTCCTAAAAATCAGACCTGTCGTTTAAGCAGATTAACTCATGTAATGGGATGCTTTGAAGACTTAAGAGTTTTAAAACTCCATTCCTTATTTGTCAATAGCTTTTTTAAAATTGTCGTAGTACCAAACCTTTTCAAATTTACAACTTGGTATTTTAAATATATTTTTTATGGCCAAATTTCATTATCTGTGTAATATCGGGAATTCTCGAAAAAGTTTCTTTGCCTGAATTCGATTTTCACCTAACTAAGAACCACCTTGAAATAACATTAAATACCTATTAAATTTTCAGGTAAACATGTTGTTTGGAAATCTTTAACCAAGGATAAACGTAGTAGGTCAGAGGTCGGGGAATGCGTCTCATTTAATGAATACATTGGGCTCAATCCCATGATTTATAATCTCAGTAGCTGCAGTAGTGAGGATATAAATATGCAATTTCAGTACCGATGGAAAGTACGTTAATGTTTTACTGTTTTTATCAAGAAACACTATGATAAATAAATATAATTAGATAATTATTTAAAAAATTTCACTAATCTATTAATAGTCCGGTTAATTTTTATTTTAGAATAAGTTATTTATATCATATTGGCATTATATATACATATACATATATATATATATATATATATATATATATATATATATATATATTAGAATATATGACCCCATGTTAATGTGATAAAATAGCAATGGAAGGCTCTTTGCGATCATTTCTACTTGCTATTACGAAAACACATCATACTTCCCTATTTTGAAAATGTGTATTTTATTTTATAATAAGTTATTTATATCATATTGGCATTATATATACATATATATATATATATATATATATATATATATATATATATATATATATATTAGAATATATGACCCCATGTTAATGGGATAAAATGGCAATGGAAGGCTCTTTGCGATCATTTCTACTTGCAATTACGAAAACACATCATACTTCCTTATTTTGAAAAGGTGTATCATTATAATGATGTTTACCTTTCTAACTTTATTAAGTTTTAAAAATAATTTTTTGCTATATATTATACACCTAACCTGCCACTTTTTTTTGCGCCCCTAAGCTACACTTTTTCTAAACATGACCTTAAATTACCAAATATAAATGATCATTAATAAAATATTTATGGTCTCTAAAGTAGTTCAATGACGGCTGATTTTTAAGCTAGAAAAATACTTTAGATGTCTTAAATTGTAAAATTGTTAAAAGATGGGCCTAAAATACTTCATTTTGTGACTTCTGAATTACAATTTTTTTCTTTAAAATTATGAAAAAATATTTTCAAATTCACAACAATAACTTTATATACAACTTGAAATATATTTTATATTAAAGGAATTGGATATATTGATATATTTATGAACAAATTAACCTAACCTGTGCCTTCTTTTTACTATTTAATCGGAAAATCGTAAAATAAAGAATTAGTTAATCTAAAAAAAAAATATATTAAATGGTTTTACGTCTGAAACAGCGTTGAGGGCTTTTCATTAAAAAAGAAATCTTGTTAACCTCAAACAAATATACAACCACTTCACCTTTTAATGTGTAAAATCAAAAATATGTTTTATCATTTTGAAGGAAACAAAAAAATATAAACCCATCTTTGTTCCAGTCATTGAATTGTAAATATTAAAAGATGGCTCTTTTTAAAGATTAAATGTTCACGTGTATAAAATGATGGGAAATTGGTATTCATGGGTATAATTATTCACAATTACCCGTGTTTGTTTTTCAACGCCATTCATTGTTCTTAATAGGTAAATATATGTTTTTTAGTAAAAAAAGAATGTAACAACTCTTTTTTCACGACTGTAACATCATTGAATTCAAAGAAAAAAAAACATCTACTGAAAACCGTTCACACCTTTTTTCCTAACTCCAAAACATATGTACCTAAGAATTTTAATTATTTATTGAATGATTTCCTTTATTATGAGGTATATCCTGTGCTGAATAGGACAAATTGAAGTTATCAAATCTCCCCAACAATAAGTTTTTAATAAAACAATAAAATTATCGAAGGCATACCCCCCCACCCCCCCCCCCCCCCNCAATAAATTTTTAAAAAAACAATAAAATTATCGAAGGCATACCCCCCAACCCCCCCCCCCCCCAAAAGCAGTTAAAAATATTTTTTGCACGCCCTTGAACTTAATAAAAATTCTTAAATCACAGATCCTTTTACCGACACAGTATTTTATAAATAATAATTCATTGTATTGAAATATTATTTTTATTTATATTACATTTAAAACGTATTACAGAAATCAAATATGTTACATAATTACGTTTTGAAATATTGACATCAAAATAAACCAATTACATCTTCTCTACCTCTTATTTGAATGAGTGATATGTGAAAAGTTATTTAATGTTAAAAAATACAAACCTTAATGAATAATAAATGAACAATTATATGTATTAGCTTTAAAAAGAGGTTGTACATTATGAGTTTTGTCATATACCACTATAAAATTAAAGAAAGTGAAGAATTTATTTGCAATTAAAAATGGTGCTCTTTAAAATTAAATATTTTTTCCTTATTTAAGTTCAATCGAAAATTGTAATTTGAAATTGTCTAAAAAAAAACATTTTTTTTGTTAGATCAAATCAATTTTAATTTAATTTCTCAATATTAAAAGCGCACTAAAAATGTACTTAAGTTGGCATAAGTTGCGCAACTGCCGATGCAGGCCTTTTCTGCAACTCCTTCATTTCAGATCCCTTCATGGATTTTGCATCTAATTGCGGGCCCCCTGTGGTATAATTCCTTCTCTACATATTAATTCATCTCAGTCTTGATTGACCTGTGAGCCATCTGCTCTTTGGCATCTTACCCTAGACCATTTTCGACGCTATATCAGCATGCATCCTCTCACCACTATAGGTGTCCTGTTCAGCGATGCCTTGATCCTTATATAACTACGCTATATGTCTTGACACAACCGATATAACTTTTGGTTTATACGAAATTCATTATATCATTATCTAATAATGGACAGTGTACTTTTCATGACGATTATCCAGTCCCATATATTAAGCGTTTCTCGGCTTTCATCAAGAGTTACCAAGTCTACCTTGCAAACATTAGAACTGCTCTTAAAATATGAAATATATGGTTTTATTAGACTTCTGATGCCTAATAGCTTTTGAAAACAGAATAAAAACAATTGCCTGGCATGAACTTTTTAACAAATCCTACATCAATTCCTTAAACTACATGGTTCCATTAAGGTGCATTTTCGAGGTACTGGCAAGAATGTTTTGGAGTAAAATAGAATAGATCTGGACATACTTCCTATGGATTATCGTGTACCTCCTTAAATTAATTTGACTGGAAATAACGATTAGGCAACTGTCATGCTGTATTAAAGATAAATATAATTTTGAAAAATTTTTTAAAAAATAATGGGGGACCAAAGTTATTGTAAAAGTCCTTGTCTTGGTTGAAAAACTTTTCAAGGTTGCTCTTGAACGATTGCAGAGTCTGGCTAAACGAATCTACTCAGAGTCCAAGGGTGGCTTCCGAAATTGGCGCTCAACAATTGACAATATATTATCGGTACGTCGAATGCAGGAGAAATGTCGTGAACAGCATATTCCTCTTTCTACTGTTTTCTTAGCCCTGAAAAAGGCATTCGACTGGGCAATTCGTAGAGGCATGTTGAATATCTTGCAGAGAATAGATTGTCCCCCTCCACTGCTCACAATCATAAATTCATGACACAAAAACATGAAAAGCACAGTAACCTTCAATGACGTGGTTTCTGGGGCATTCGTTGTAAGCAGCGTAGTAAAACAAGGTTGTGCATTGGCACCAACGCTCTTCTGCATTTACTTCTCGATTCTTATTCAAATTGCCTTCAGGGACTGGGAAGATAAAATGTACATCCATACCAGATCAGATGGTAGGCTGTTCAATATTGCCCCCCTTCCTGTAAAGACCAAGTTTTGTTTTTTGTTTTTGTTTTTTTAAGTACTACTTTATGAACTGCTGTTCGCTGATGATGCCGCCTTTAGTGAATAGTTAATCGTCTATCACACGCTCGTAAAGAGTGTTTTTTTTTTTTTAAATGTGTCTACCTAAAGAAAATGTCTTGATGCAAGAATCCCCGTCCCCTTAGATCATGTTTATTTAGGTTCATAATCTTTTGATTGTTGAGAATTTAATTTATCTTAGATCTAATATTTCTATTTTTACTTTATGAACTGCTGTTCGCTGATGATGCCGCCTTTAGTGAATAGTTAATCGTCTATCACACGCTCGTAAAGAGTGTTTTTTTTTTTTTTAAATGTGTCTACCTAAAGAAAATGTCTTGATGCAAGAATCCCCGTCCCCTCAAATCATGTTTATTTAGGGTCATAATCTTTTGATTGTTGAGAATTTAATTTATCTTTGATCCAATATTTCTATTTTTCACTCCTTTGACGAAGAGGTAAAAATCAATATAGCAAAGCAGCGCAATTATGGTCAAACTGAATAAGTGGGTGTGAAGTTGTCTCAATCGAACTGATGAAATCAAAACTAACTGTCTCTCATGCATGTGTGTTTAATACGCTTCTAGATGGCAGGGACGTTCGGACAACATAACCAGTCATAAGGGAAAACTATATAGCTTCCATTAAAGATGTCTGCGTCGCATTTTTTGCATTCAATGGCTGGACTAGGTTATTAACACAGAGGTTTTAGAGCTTGCACAAATGTAGAATATACTCTGCTCTTAGCAAGATTTGCCTTCTCAGTTTAGGCCATGTAACGAGAATGGAGAAAGACAATGTTACAAAGTAGCTAATTTATGGTGAGTTGGCAGACGTGACAAGACTTATTGGAGGGCTATGCCTGAGATTTATGGACATTGGCAAAGTAGCTTGAGGGAAACTAACATTGAAATCAACGTATATGAGATCAATGCGGAACAAAGTTCAAGCTGCCCAAAAGCTATGTATGAAAGAGTCAAAGAGTCATAAGATGGGCGAAACAAAGTCCGTGCAATAAAAAAGAATAAAACGGTAGAAAAAAATTAACCAGGATTTAATATTCTTTAGCAGTTGAGATTGTTATTCCAGGATTGGCCTGATGAGTAATTTGGTGAAGCGTAAATAGCTACTCCATTGCCTCGCAAAGACAGAAAGATGCCCTATGTATACACTGTGTCAAGGACTGGATGCAATTATAACGGCGGTGTCTTGGGCGTTGACCCCGATTATGGAATAGTCTGAAATTGGAATTATTCTGCAATAGTGTTATCATATGTTTCGTAGCAGTGGCGTAGTTAGGTTTCTTCTTTTAAATATAAATATCCATCGTGTGGCGCTTACAAAATCAAAAATAAATTAATTGAAGATCCAGAGGTATATGTATTTAACAGATGTAAAAACTTAAGTTATAGTTATTTTTACAATTAAATTTACTTGCTACAAATTTTCCATTCTTGATCTTCAAAGCTCCAAATCTGTCATTCGATTTCAAAAGTTAAAGGACTGTGCTAGTGATGAATCGGCAAAACTATTAATTTTTTAGAATTTCTGGTTTCCGAAAATTTAAATTCCACAACCTTTTTATTAAAAAAAATAAATAATTCAATTTTCAAAAGTTATTAAAATTATAAAAAATTAGGACAACATTTTTTAACACTCTAAATAGGTAAAACGTTATTATAGATGATTTTAATTTTTACTTATTCGATTCGTATACTTAGAATCGCCAGACCTTATCATATTTCGTTTAAATAAAAAGTTTTATTTCTCAGAATTAAGAGAAATATAGCTTACTGTCTCTTACGAAAATAGACGAACACAAATTGGCGTTGAATCATGGTCACAACTGTTTAATCTGACATAATTATAGGGTCACCTCAATTTTGATGCCCCAGTCTTAAACTTTAATAAAGTACGCATTTGGATTTGCTACAAGAGGGGGGGGGGTCAATTGGAGAGAGCATCGAATTACGCCCCTGTTTCATAATGTACTCATCTGTAAATATTGTTTTGTAAGTAAGAAAAAAATGCAAGCTGCAGTTAAGGTAATAGTTATTTCGGAAATATAGAAGATTTTGATAAACTAGTCATTGAAAGAATTGAATATATATGTCTTCTTAAGATTTTTAGATATACTGGTCCTTTAATATTTTTTATATACTGTTTATTTAAGTATTTGGAATTTCTGGTCATTTAAAGAATCGAATATATTGGTCATTTTTGTTAATTTGGATATTCGGTCATTAAAAGATTTTGATATACTCGTCATTTAAAGATTTGGATATACTGGTCATTTAAATATTTAAATATATTTGACATATTAAGATTTCGATATACCGGTCATTTAGAGATTTGGATATACTGGTCATATAAAGAATTTGATTTATTTTTTCACAAAGATAAAACATTTTCAAAACTTCTTGGATCCATATTAATATAATTAAAAATTTAAGAGCTGTACGCCACATAAAAAAATGCCCCACGGGGCGGCACATTCTTCGCCACTTAGGGTTTGAAACTGGATATAGATAAATAGGAAGAATATATGTATATACATTCATGTTTAAAATTATATTTTGATTTTCAAAAGATTTAAATCTTCTTTCTACGAAGACAAAACCATGGAGCCCTTACTTCCATCATTAAATGAAGGTAACATTATTTGAATAATTATATATTTTTGTATACAGTATTATAATAACACTTTTAAACAGGCTTTTTCTTTTTAAAAAGTTGTAGTTAAACAAAGCGTTGTAGCGATTAAATAGTATGTTGCTAATCTGAGTAATACTAAAAAATCAATATAAAAAAGACTGCATTTTACAAAAATTTACTTTTAAATATACAATAACTCCAAGAACATTCTTTGCAATTTTATTTCAATATATACATAAATATTGCATGTTGAATATATATAATATATATATATATATATATATATATATATATATATATATATATATTTATATATATATATATATTTAACATTAAATTGTTTTTCTACACATTTTACCAGTTAAGAGGATATTTTCTTTGCGTCAAAATTTTGAGGATTCGCAACTGACATTTGGTAAGTATTTTAAAGTGTGTGTCTGTTGTTTTTTTTTAATATAATGATATGTTATTTTTTTTTCATTTTAAAAACATTATTTTGTCTAAAGGTGATTAATATTGTTAAGACTGTTCAAAAAGTTGGGGGGGATACAATGGTCAATTCGTTCTTTTTCTAATACAAGTTTTTATTGTATTATCTTATTATTTATTATTGTGATTATCAATGAAGTCTTTCAGCCAAAATATACATTTTCTTTGTTTTTGTTCACATACATTGTCTTTAATATTTTATTTCGTCGTTTCCATTAAAATATGTGTCATTGCCTTTAAATGTAAGTTAATACTATAGTTGTTGTTATATTTTTACTTCAGACAATCCAGAATATCAAGAGTTAGCTGAGATGAGCGAAGCTAGTATTAAAATGGAATGGTCAAATTGTAAAAAAAAGCAAGGTCATCAAGGATTTATTCCATGGAAAGACTTTCAATCAGATCCAGAACGTTATTGTAAAGAAGCTAAACTTACTCCCACTGAAACAACTTTGAAGTATATAGAAACAATGACAAACCTTACAGCACGATTAGAAGTAAAATTTGTCAGTAGCAACCGACCAGAACTGTATAGAAAATTATTTGAACATAGAGGAACAGAACACATATTTACTGGAACAGGTTGTGTAGTGCATGACGTGAATGTATCAAATCATCCATGTCGATGTATTAAATGTAGGAAAATGGCAAAGAAATATGATACAGAAATAATCAAAACATTTTCAGTTTACATTGCAACAGCCACGCATGTTGTTTATGATGGCGAGGAAGCAAAGAAAATGACAGCTGAATTAAACTACAACGACGATGGTAGAAAATGTATTAAAAGGTTATATGGTGTTTCTTTGTGTGATCGCAGTGTCACTGGTGATGCTTGTGTAGTAGAATGTGTCACGTGTGATGAACAGTTAGCCAAAGAAATAAAGACAAACTTACAAAGCTACCATTTATTGTATAGAGAATATCCAAGAAGTTATAAACCAATTGTGGTGATTATATCTCATCCACATGGCAAACCTAAGCACATTAGTTTTGGAGAATATAGAACATTACTTTTTAAACGAGATGGTCTAATTACTTTAAAAGCAATTGAATACAATGCTACTACATGTCCGGGAAGTAGTGGTGCCCCTGTGTTGGTAATGAGTGATAAATGCTCCTTCAGGAGTACTAAAATTGTGTTGTCGAATTTTCCAGCTCATTCTGGAGTAAATTCTGAAGGTCTTAGCTTTTCCGCGACATCTTCAAATCCAACATTGAAAATAAAACCAGAAAAAAACGGTTAGTTCCTGTTGTTTTGTTTTTATTATTTTTAAAGAAAACAAATTCCTATTAATAAATATTTATACATTACCTAGAGAGAACAACTTGTTCTTTAAACAAAATTTTGCGTCTTAAAAAAAATAATCAATTGTGTATATGATATCGTTAAAATTCGCTAAGTACATATCTGTCAGTATTCAATAGGCGAGAAGAATAAAATTCTCAGAATTTTTTACTCTTACAAAGTAAATTAATGAAATGTATGTTTTATCTTGTAAATTATGTAATTTGAAATTCTCTAAACACTAGGACCATTGATTAAAGTTTTTTGTATTTTTAAAAATTTATTGACATAAATTAAATATTATTTTTTCTCTTTACTTTTAACAGGTAACCGATAAAAAGAAGGAAATACTCAAAGAAGGTAATTTCCATCTTTAAAGATGAAAAAAACTACGTGTATAAATTTTAAATTGTTCAAAATTATACATTTAATCTGTTACAGATTAAATTCATGTACAGAGCACCATGGTCACCATATGGTTATAAAAATCAAACGTTTTTTGTCATATAATTTTTAAATTATACATAAGATAGTTGTGTCTCATGCAAATCATATTGATTTTAAATTGTTCACGCGTGAATTACATCACGCAATACATTAAAGAATACTTTCTTTGAACAAATTCAACTATTTTTTTTTATGTAACTCTAAGGTACTTAATATGGTGTGCCATGTGAGATAAAACACAAATTTACAAACTGATATATTTAAAGGTGATCCATAGTTAGTGACCAGTTTATGATTGAAATATTTTTTGTTTTAATACACATTATCTGAAAATATTAGTTGCACAAAAGCACAAAACATACATTATTAAAATAAAACATACGGCTTTATACTAAAAATTGGTAATAAATGCATTGGTTAAAATATGTCACGCCCAGAACAGTGCCACACAAGGGCGACCAACCTTCATTCCCCTCTTCTATAACGTATTAGCGGACGATAGGGCATTCAATGCCTAAAATACGGATTCCAAAATAAAAAATCGGGAAAATTTCGATTTTAGTAAAATTTTAAATTGCTGACCTGTAAAAAAAAAAGAAAACTAATCCTTTCCAAATCGGAAATATTAAAACAATAACAAAATACCTAACATGGAGTCAAATGTGAGCTGTTTCCAATCTTTTAGCTCGCGTCAGCGAAGACTAACCAATGGGATCAGTTGTTGAAATCTATGAGCAAGGATAAGGAATATCTTGCAGTAAACGTCTAACTCGAGATAGCTTTTTTTTTTTCTGTTTCAGATGTAGAGTCATCTGACATGGCCCTAAACTTGTCTTCGTAAAATACACTCTATGTGTTCAAGACATCTCTTCTTTAAGAGTTCGCTGTTATTGTAATATTTCTAAAGCCTTCTGTCATGATCCACAAGTTTAGTCTAGATATTACAAAAATAGATTTCCCATTAAAAGGTAAAATAGAAAACAATGTAAGAGTATGATCTGAAGAGATTTATGAAAACAACGTATTATCTTTACAAACCTTAAGGGAGTGAGATAGTGCATACCATCATTCGTTTTATGCACTTCCTTATAGGTTGTATTCTTGGCATTTGGAAAAAGTAAATTATGATTCAGTACTATGTAGTTTATTACTTGCAATTTTTAAAAAAAATTCTTTAAATAATAGAAGTTCTCCGCTCGGAATATAGGCGACAGGATTTCTGGGAAATTTAGTGGATTTTTACGTCAAATAAAATTATCCTCAGATTAAATGTATAACAAGTAAATAAAGCATGTGCTTGTTAACATAAGCACAACAAATTAAATAAATCTTAGAGCAGTTTAATTTTTTAAACTAGATGTTGACTAAATAAGAATTTAAAAAGATTCTCGTTTTAAATATTTATGTTGTCTTTACTTGCAGATAATTTCATTGTCCCAGAAAAAGTTGAAGCAGATCTTCATAGACATTCAGTTGGGTGCGGTAAAAATCCCGGACACACTCAGTTTGTACCTGTATATGATTTCAATATAAACCATTTGCCTGAAGGATGTCATGATAAAGATTTGGTTGAGTTTGTAAAATGTTTGGCCGATCTCACAGTTCGAGTAGCTGTTAAGATGATTAGCACAGAGAGACCTGAATTCTGGCCAAACACCAATCAACCCTATCCTTTATACAATAAGCGTGGTATGAATGAAATGCATCTTGGTACAGGACTAATTTTGTTAATACGCCAAATAGAAGACGTGCAGCATCCATTATGTACTTGCCGTAATTGTCAATATTCTAATACACCAATTAAGGTCAATTTTCACATTTACATGAAAACAACAACACATTTAGTTTTTGATGATGTAGAAGCAGGTCATACAATAGCACGTATATTTTTTGGATCACAAGATAGTCCTTTGGTAACATTGGATGGATTTCGTGCTGTGGATTGTGATATTGAGGGTGATACATGTTATCTTAAATGTGTTACATGTGATGCAGATCTTGCTGATAAACTGTTGAAGATGACTCAAAATCTGTGGAACATATATGAGAAAATTGAAGATAAATATAATTCAAAAAGTTTGAGTATAATATTATCTCATCCTCACGGTATTCCTAAACAATTTTCAGTCGGACGTGTAGTAGAAGGCATTACATTAGCTGAGGGTTATGACATTAAATTCACTAAACACAGTTATACAACAAGCACGTGTCCAGGATCAAGTGGGGCTGCCGTATTTATTCTTTCAAAAGATACCACACCATTTATTGAGAAGTATATAACACATCCCGTGCACAGTGATGCACTAGACAGTGGGCTAAATAAATGTTCATTTGCTATGGACACGTTCAATTAAATAGTTTTCAGTATAATTTATCAATTATATCTTGATGAAACAATAGGGAGATAATATTTTGTTAGACTAATAATAAAACAAGCTTCGGGTGAATTTTTGTTTTAATTAACACAAAATTTTGTAAAAGAATGTATACAACTAAAGTATTTTTGTTTTTTTAAATAAATTTAACACTGATGACCTTATCTCACAATTCTTTTTTTTTAACATTTTTCTAAAGAAGTTGCAAATTAACATATTTAAAAATTAAAGAAAAATAAGTTAATAATTAAAATATAGTTTAATATTTCAAAATCTTTAAATTCAATGTGTGCATTTCGGAATAATTTTTTCAAAAAAATATTTAATATACAAGATATTATAGACGATGTGCAACCATAATGATTGAATCTAATAGCTATTATGCCCTCATATGGACTAACGAACGTTTTGCTACATAAATTTTTGGTGTATGATGAACACAGATGTTAAAACTAGAAGTATTATTTGCATTACAATAAAAAAAAAACATTCTTTTTCCTTGGGGGGGGGGGACATAAACAAGTCATTGAATCTTATTTTATATTGCATAATATTGAAATAATATTTTTAAGAGTTAAAATAATAATTTGTTAAATAAATTTTTGGTGTATGATGAACACAGATGTTAAAACTAGAAATATTATTTGCATTAAAATAAAAAAAAAACATTCTTTTTCCTTGGGGGGGGGGGGACATAAACAAGTCATTGAATCTTATTTTATATTGCATAATATTGACATAATATTTCTAAGAGTTAAAATAATACAGATTGTTCAAACTATGTTTAATATCTGAATAATCGGAATAATGTATACGGGTAAACTGAAATATATAAATTTTTAAGTTTATATTTTAGATTTTACAAACCATAATTGTTTCGACAACCTAGTTACAATGAAGTTTTACTTCAACAGAAAAAAAAAGTGTCTACCACATTTAATTATGTAGATTATAGTTTTTATTTAACATCTTTAACCCTTAACCATTGGGAGTAATAAAGTTATAACAGATCAATATTTAAACATGCAATGGTGGATGATAAGCGCAACCTTACTTAATTAGATTTTGTTAAATGTGACTTTTTATTATGTCATCTTTAATTGTTTAGAAATATAAAAAAAATATAACTGCACTTAATGTTTGTGTTTTTGTTCCTCACATAAAAAAAAGGACATGTATTTGTTGAACATTAAAGAAAAACAAACACAAATTTGTAAACATGTGTTACTTTAACCTATTAATAATTAGGTTTCGATAATTAATAAATATGAAAGTATTTTACAATAAATGACACATAATTGGTCGTAAGTTGAGTACGCTATGTGTACAGTAATGTGAAATATATAATCATTTTTGATTTCTGTAAAGAACTATGTCTTTTGGGTCTCAATGTAAAAGGCAAAACTATGTTAAGCCTATAAATGACAACATATTTAACATCAATAAAACTGAGATTTTAATGTTATCAGGACAAAAGTATATCGTTACTGTAATAGTTGTCTTTTTATTAACATTTAATAATCCTGGCAAGTTCATAATTCGAAAGTTTAATCTTTGATTTAGTTTCAACCTAATAAAATAGAGCCAACAGACAATGATTGTTTTTGATAAGAAACGTTATGTGTGAGTAGACGAATAGAGATTTTGATACATCTATGTATCATGTAACATATAACTCAATTTTGCGTTGGGTAGGCCTAACATTCATCACTTAATACCAAGGTTTATCCTCACCCGCATCTTAATCTGCTATGAACTGTCTGGTAAAACAAAAATTAATTGCTAAAAATTCCAGATACTAATAAAGCATATCCTCTACCTCTAATGCTACAGAATATGCAAAAATATTTTCATTACATTTGGAATTTTTAGAAAGATTGACTACGCATATAACGCCAGATGAAGGTCGACTCTGTTGAAAGAATAATATACATTTATTAAATATTTTTTTGGCTTAATACTACTACATTAATATATATTTACAGAGAGTGACAGAAATAGAGTGAGAGAGAGAGAGAGAGAGAGAGAGAGGCAGAAAGAGAGAGAAAGGGATGAGAACACCATGCTAAAACATTTGCCGATTCTTACAATGTATCTTTGTCTTCATCGTACGCTAAATTTCTATTTCATTTTCAGTCTAAAAATGTACGGTGATTTGCGTGGATATATCTATTTCTAAAATATAAAAAAATTGATTTCTTCCTATATTTAGTTCGATTTTCCATGCTCGTCTATAATCATGCTGAAAATTTTGTGTGTCGAATATGGGTATTCTCTAGTAATTGCTGCGCACCTAATATGTTGTTGAATTGTGTGCTGTGCGTCGTGTGTGTTATTTTAGTGCATGAACGCATTGGTCGGCATAGTATTTGTGGCGTATTGTGGCGGGATTTATTGCAACTTTAATGCAAATTTCTAGGATCAGACTTTTGTATACTTGCTTTCGTTTGGCAGTTTGTGTGAGCGCTACGTGAAAGAAGTTTGTTCTATATTTTTAAGTTAGCCTCGCTATAAAGGAATTTGTTACATTTTACAACGTGTTGCTTATTTTTCTTGATTCAAGTTTGTATTTATATTGAAAAAGAACTTATGTTCAGTTATCATGCATGAATGTGTAAAAGAGTTTGATGCAAGATGCAATTATCACACATTTGAACACTGAAGCGAAATTCAGTCATCGTTTTATTAACACAAATGCTCATAATTAGAAATAATGACTGAATTTTCAAGACGGTTAAACCATTATGCAAGGGAATCATTAATGTCAACTGTCGGTGAACGCTTTCACAGTTGATGATACCAATTGTGGTGTGTTATTGCAATATTTTAAATTTAAGACAGCCTTGTGGCTAGCGTAAGCCTATAGTTTTAATGGGTCTATACGAAGTGATTAGTCTCGAATGTTAACAAATGTTTATATTAATATTTAACATCTCAGGGGTGTTTGGGTCAAAGAGCCGGGTATAAAAATGTTCGCTTCGAAAAAAGGCAGTAATATAAATTGCGTTGAATAATTTTAATCAAAAATATTGCATCACATCATTTCAGGATAAAAAAGGTGAAACTCGATTAGTGTGTATTGGATAAAATATATATTTTTTTTATAAATGATAACATTGCAGAGGTAATTGTACTTTTTCAAACTTGGTGCCCACGGTCAATATGTGCTCAGGATACATTTTATATCATAGAAACGTTTAAAGTTTCATGATTAGAAGCAAGAAAGAATAGGCACACAGTGAATGATATATTTATGATATATATACATATATATATATATATATNGAGAGGGGTATCACGAAAATGAGAAAGAAATATAAGCAAAATTACTTCAGTTTTATAAACTGATTAATGCCCGTACCCTTTCCCAATTAGAATTGTTATTTATCGTCTGACTTTACTAAATATAATACTGGCAAACATTACCAAGCCAGAGAAATATTGACAAATCCTAACACAATCTACTTCTCTAAAGTGTTCTACTAATCACATGTGTTTATTCTTTTTTTTTTTTTTTTAAATTTTGTTTTCTTTACTTTTTTAATACTTACGTACGATATTTATATGCTATGTCAATTTGATTTATAATAAAATGAATTTATTTTTATTTAATCAGTGACGTCATTCTCCGAAACGTTTTAATTCGTTTAACATCAAATCATAATTAAATCTAACATATATTGTTTTAACTAAATGTTTTCTTTGTGTCTCGTTTATCTCAATCTTTATTGACTGCCTTAGAAACAAATCACTCCCATCAAGAACATTACTAGAAATATATTTTAAAATATAAATTCTTAAATATACCATTCAAAAACTCATTTATATTTCTTAAAGCTTTTTTTTCAACAACAAAATCGTCCAGTAATACAAAAAAATTTGATGGAAAATAGATGTTTGATAATGCTTCAATTGTGTTTGTTTCAACTTTATGGTTCATTAAAAGAAATAATGGACAGAACAAATTATTCTTTGGCGTTGCTGCATGAATATTGATGTGTTATGGTATAAATCATAACACTGTTCTTATAAAGGTTCATAGCTTAACCTCTTACAATGTCGGACGCATATCAAATAAATAATTGATGTAACTATTTTTTTAATTATGCTATAAGCTAGGAAACAATATTTAGATTCTTTAAAAACTGTAACATTAATATTTTTATTTGTTTTGGAAGCCGATAATTAAATTGTGTTGGGTTTTTATTGTTGAGCTTGACAAAGGCACGGCCCAATGTGAATAATGAGCGTATCATAATTTTGAACGTAGAATAATTTGTTTAATATAGCGTAAGAAGCGATTAAGTATAACTTAAGCAAGAGTTGATTCCCAACACAATCACGGGAAAAGCTACAGGTAAAAGTATAATTAACATTCTGTGTACAACTTGATTTTACAAACATTATCAGGTAAAAAAGATCAACTTTAGGTAGTTGTCTGTCAAATAGCTCTATTTGTGTGTGTTGTTGTTGTGAACGTGTCTAGCTGACTGTTAGACAACTTACAGAACGCCTAATAAAACCAGTAGGTATCAGAAGTTATCGGTGGATATCGTTAAGTATCAGTAGCTATCAGAAGGTATGAGTAAGTGTCAGGAGCTATCAGTAGGTATCATTAGGTATGACTAACAATTAGTATGTATCCTTAGGTTAAAGTATTTTTTCAGTATGTATCATTATGTATCATTAGGCATCAGTAGCTATCAGTAGTTATCAGTAGGTATCAGGAGAAATCATTAAGTATTACTGGGTATCAGTATCTACCCTATTAGAAATTGGATTGTTTTGAGATTGACCTCGAGCAATATCGAATGTCCAGTGTAGTTGATTTTTCTTATTGCTTGATGAGCCTATTTCTTCCGTAATTTTTTTTTGGGGCACGTAATGAATGTGGCACACATGGAAGAACTGTTTTAACAAGCTTGACATGTTTACTCATCGTACCTAATAATAGTGTACACCATCTTTTTTAGAATAGATCTGTAATATAAAGTAAATTCTTTCATGCGAATGTTATATTCGAGATAAAGTAAGTTTAACAAGCTCATTGACAAGGTCCATTAAATAAATTTACCGATAAATCTCATACCGGAGAGTATTTTTCAACAATACCTGATAAATTTTTAGTTTTTAAGATTCATTTTAAAAACGCATAACCTACTGTGTTACAAAAAGTCTAATTCCGTTCAATTAGCAGATCTAAACATTCTTCTACAAAGGTACGCTTTATGTCTGCTTGTTTTACTGGTTTAAGAATAGTATGCGCCATTGCGTACAGCCCTGTAGGAGTGTTTACTGTATCTATGACAATGTATAAGCGCCTGGAGTAATGCAAAGCATGTGAAACAGCAGGGGAGCGTACCTCCCATTGTTCACCCATTGGAGAACAGGGCAGATGTGACAAGGGATCAGATAAGGAGGACTTAAGGTTTGAGAGAATTTTTGATCAGAGGGATAGTGTACAGAAATATATATAATAATAATAATAATAATAAATTTCATTTCAAAAACACGCTTCATCTCCAAAGGCTCGAAGTGCCGTACAAAGTCAACAAAAAACAAATCTATAATTTACCACATTTTAAAAAAAACGCGACACTACAAAAACTAAGTACTAGCATACAATGGCAAAGTCTTTCTAGGGAAAATGTGCATGCCTATCCCTAAGTACATAATGTCCTTTATTAAGTTTTAAGAGATGTAATAGTTATAAATAATGAATACAGTGGTAAATAAAGAAAAAAAAATATTTACATGATGATTTAATAGACAGAGTGTGCAGAAGTAAAGTCTTTGAGTCAACTCCCCATGAAATGTTT